GGCTGCTGTGGTGACTCGGGTGAACCTTGTGATGCACAGAAGAGCTCTCCTCTGCCACTTGGGGCATCTACTGTACTAAAGACTCTCATTGTTGGGTACAAGTGGATTCACGGTGTACCGTGAGAATGAATGGTGGAACAATAGTGACTCTGAGGACCCCACTTTTTTTTTTAAATGGAAGCTTTTTTTATATATATATTTTATTGATTTTTTACAGAGAAGAAGGGAGAGAGAGAGAGAGCCAGAAACATCGATGAGAAAGAAACATCGATCAGCTGCCTCCTGCACATCTCCCACTGGGGATGTGCCCCCAACCCAGGTACATGGCCTTGACCGGAATCGAACCCGGGACCTTTCAGTCCGCAGGCCGACGCTCTATCCACTGAGCCAAACCGGTTTCGGCAGGACCCCACTTCTTAGCAGTGACAATCAACCTGAAGCACTAAGCATGAAAGCCACTCCCCCATCCTGAGTCCCAGCTCCTTTTACTCCCCCCTCCCATTCCCTCCTCTCCATCATCAACAGATATCAAGTCCTAAGGCTGACTCCCAACACAATTTCACATTCCCTCCCCAATACATCACTGCAATTACAGAAAACAGACAGAAACGTGATGAATGAAGAATAAAATACACTATGTCTTCTGTGTATTATCCCACCAGATGGGGAGGAGTGGGCAGCTGGAAAGAATGCGGAGCAGGTCTGCTATTGGAGAAGCCAGTGTGACAATCAGGCTCTGGTCTGGACCAAATGTGGGGAGGGGTGTTCCACACACTTTAATGTTAGGGTGACTTACAGTGTCTTGGACATTGCACACAGCTGTGGGGTAAACCAGCTATGCTAACAACCAGCTTGCAGGTGGCCAGTGGAGGCTCAGGACATTTAGATTCCAAACTGGTTGCCCAGAGATCCGTGAGACTCACACGCCAAGGGTTGAACACCCTGGGAGGATGGAGAGAGACTCTGAGGCATGGCCCTCAGACTTTCTTCCTTAGGGACGAGGCTGCTTTAGTAGCCAATTACATTTAATTTCCTGCAAAGAGCCAGGGGCTCACGCTTTTGAGACTAGCACCAACTGACAAATAGCTGCTTTTGCAGAATCCTATTTCATTTTTCCCTTGGCACTGTAGGCTAGAAATCCAACAAGGAGGGAGCACTGGAAACAGACTGGATTAGCAAACCGAGCCCAGTGCCTGGTAGGATCACTTCTCAGAATACAGAAAACAGCCCTGGTCACAGGTCTCTTCTAAAGTAGGAAGAAACCAAAATCTGGGGGAAATGGAAGGCTGTGGCAGCAATGTTGGATCAGAAGCTAAAGCCCAGTTACAGAGTCTTCACCCTGTGGTAGCCAGCCTCCAGCAGGGCCCCAATGATCCTGGCCTCAGAGTTTGTCCTCTCCCACCCTGACTGGGGATGACCTGTGTAACCAAAAGAACTTTGCAGAAATCATGGAGTTTGACTTTTAAGGCTAGGTCATATGAAAACATCATAGCTTCTGCCTTGTCCTCTCTTGGATCAGTTGTCTTATGGGAAGCCAGCTGCCATGTCACAAGGACACTCAAGCAGCACTGAGGAGGCGTCCTTGTGGCAAGGACCTGAATTCTCCTGCCAATAGCCAGCATCACCATGCCATTAACATGGAGCCTAAAGCACATCCTCCAGCCCAGTCTGAATTCTCCTGCCAATAGCCAGCATCACCATGCCATTAACATGAAGGAGCCTAAAGCACATCCTCCAGCCCAGACAAACCTTCAGATGATCACAGCCCCGGCCAGCATCTTGATTGCAACCTCATGAGAGACCCTGAGCCAGAACCACCCAGGTGAGCTGCTTTCAAATTCCTGACCCACACAAACCGTGTGAGATAGTATTTAGTGTCGTTTTACGTCACTAGCTTTTGGTGTAATGTATTATGCAGCAAATGCATCATTAATGCACCCTGCCAGGTGTACCATTAAGTCTATTAATGCAGGAAACTGACTTTGTCCCTGGTGGGAAGCCTTGTCAGCGTGTCTCAAATGGATGGCCTTCTTCTTTCAGAATATTGGTATCTCCTGAGATAAATGGGTATCCAGTGCAGTAACCTGCCTTTCTGCTTCTCTTCGTCCATACCTTCCTCAACCACTGTGCCAAGCAAACACAGACATGTACATATGCATATACACACATGCACACACACAACTTTCTTTTTAACCTGAAAAATCACCAAATCACTCAAGCGCTGAAAATATGAACTTTTTTCCAGGAAGAACCAGATGCTTTGGATGTTTTAAGTACTATTTCTCACTCCGTCTCTGAATGGACAGATGGCGGGGGCAGGGAGAACACAGCTGACTACTGAGAATTGATTGATGGGTCTGTTCTCCTTTGCTAGTCATATAATTCTGAGCTGAGTGAGCAAGAGCAGGGGAGGAAAGCCACAGCCACAAATCCGTGCATTCCCAAATTTGTTTAAATATTTCAGAATGGGATTTCTCCTTTTCTCTCATTTCCCCATCCCATTTACCACCAGAGGTGAGGAGAGTCTTTGATGAGATAAAAGCACAGAGGCTTTGTGAACATAATAAATAGTCCATCCAAATTATGGTAGAGGCCATCAAGCTCTTGTAAGAGAAACATTTCCTCACTGTACAGAAATTCTGCTATGAAGAACCCGAAAGATGTGAGGCTCTAAGCACCTGCAGGTCCTTCCCCTCCAGGTTGGGGGCCAAGAAGAAGCCTTAGAGCTGGGAAAGCCTTGCAGCATTCTCCTTGGCTGGAGTGGGCCCTGAAGGCAGAGGCAAAAGGTAGAAAACAGGGGAATAGAGAAGAGCAGAGAAGAAGGGGCACCAGGGAGAAAACTCCCGATAGTCACCCAGAGTGGACCTGCATGGGCTGAACGATGGCCAGGTGGGAAACTATTTCTCAGCCTCCTGTGTGCTTCTTTTTATTTCTGTCAGAGAACTCTACCTGTCTGTCCTTCCAAGTATGGAGTCATATCTGAAGGGTTACGTGGGAAATATTCTCATCACGAGGTGAGTAGGGTCATGGAGGTCCTTCTCTAGAAAGAGTCATGGCTGATCATGACCACAGTTTGGGGAGACAGCGTTCTCCCGGAGTGTCTGAGCAGAGTGGATATCAGAGGCCCCATGTCACTGTTCCTGGCCCTGGATTCTCCAGGAACTGATCCTGTGTGTCTGCTCATCTTCATCCCTGCATCTTCCCCTGCTGAGCTCTGCCACCAGCTCTGGTGAATCCCAGGGTTTCCAGCCCTGGTCTCCTGCCTGTGAGCCACTCCTGATTTCAGCTGTGCATAGACTTTCCTCCTCTTGGTTATCTGAGCCCCACCTTATACTCAACATGTCCAATTTAGAATTCCACAAAGACTCCTTTTCTCCATGATCTTATTTCTGGAAATAAAAGCCAGCTGGGAACTTGGAGTTGTCTCAGATCTTCTTTCCTCAGGACCTAAATCCATCCTGCCAGTGGTCCTGAGGTCTTTCCCTTTAAACTGTACCTTTGTTATGCTCAATGATGACCTGTGCTCAGAGCCTCCACCCTTTGCAAACTCTCATCCTGACAGGCCTGACATGTTCTCTTTTCTTTCTTTGCTCCCTTCACCCCCTCATATTTCAAAGTTTGAAACAATTGGCCTCATTTCCTTAAGCCTTACCTGACCCCTCAAGACCACATTTGCCTCCTTTCTTGAACTTCTATCCCTCCTATTCAAAGGCAATTGTTAATGCGGGCCTGCTGTGTGCAATGTGCCAAGTGCCAATTGGGCAGCAACAGTGAAGTTCCGGGCTTCAAGGAGATTACAGTCTAGTAATCATAACACCAATTAATAACTTTTTTTCTCTTTCTTTTTAAAAAAATATGTTTTCATTGATTTTTAGAGAGATATGAAAAGAGAGAGAAACATCGATGAGAAAGAAACATCGACTCACTGCCTCCTGCATGGCCCCCACTGAGGACGGTGCCCACAACCCAGGCAAGTGCCCGGACTGGGAATCAAACCAACGACCTCTCGGGCATTGGGTCGACACTTAACTACTGAGCCACACCAGCTGGGCTATTTCCTCTTTCTTAACTGTGCTTCCCCAACCAAATTCTTAAATAGCCAGGACTGTGTCTTAAACAACTTTTTGTAAAATCCACAGTGACTGTTAGATTACAGGGCACATGACATGTTCTTACTACTTGTTGGTTATATGCAAGACAGGTAATAGAATCAGATATAAAAAAAAATACATGTCAACTACAATCCTTATCTAGGTTACAGAAATATCTTTGGTATGAAGGAAAAAACCCGTCAAAAAATTAAAGAAACCAGGCTGTGTTTGAATGGTGTTTTACATGTCTAATCAATAAATCAATTTAACTTGTCAAATTATTTTTAATATAATCATTGATAGTCCATTCCCCAAATACCATAATCTTGAAATAATAATCACATTATAAGATTAATGATTCAAAGCACATTAGTAATTCAAAGGTAGATATCTGGAATTTCCTAAGAGATTTTACAAGACAGAAATAGGAGCAAATTGAGAAGCACTGAACACAACTCTTAGGTAAAGTCATTCTATTCTATTAAGGACAAGAGTATTGATAGGATCCCAACACACAAGAGAACCATGACATCCTCTCAGCAAGGGTCTCCTGGACCAGGGACAGAACTGGGCTCAGATAATACTGATATGTCCTTTTTAAATGCCCCAGTAAAAAGACTTTTGTGAATCAGAAGTAGAGAAATCTCATTTCTCCAAAATGTAAAACTCTTTTTGATATAAGAAAAAAAATAGGGAGATATTTCACTCCTCCCAGCCTTAAATGAGCATAGTTTTGATTCTTTGTTCAGAGGACCTAGTATGTACCTCAGTTTAGACTACAAGGAACGCATGTCAGTCCAGCCTGGTAGAGATCTTCGTGTGCTAAACAGCTCAAGAACACAGAGTCATAAATTTGTCTCAGATACATGTTTACTGTGAAAGTAAATCTTTAAGAAAATTCTTACTCACCTGCCAGAATATGCTATCTATTGTGTTTCCAAGAAAACCATCACGGCCTTCTGAGGACACCAGTTTCGGGCCAAGAATTGTCATGAATTCATCAAAATCCACCTGGCCATCCCCTGGAAGAAGAAGATATAAATATAAATGGAAAAGTAGTTGAAATTGACTTACCATGCCCCATGAAATAAACATCTTCATATTTTCCTCCTTAGCATGACCTCAATAAATAACTAGTGGCATTACTGAGGGTTGTGCAACATTCTTCAAATACCAAAAGAAACATAAGAAATTATTGGTTATTATTAGTACATCCAATACCACATATCCCTAATTACTTGTCAGTATTTCTATCTAAATGCTCAACCAGCACCTCAAATTGCCCAACTATACATGATAAAAATTGCAGCTTCATTCATATCTCTTCCTTCATCTTTGTCACTCACAAATACATTTAGTCATCACGTTTTATTGAATTCACCTCTTAGATACCTGTGGCTGTTTTATTTTTCTTGTTAATCCAATTGCATATCCCTTTCCAAAGACTATGGTGGGAAAGTGATTCCAAGGATTCAAATTCCTAGTTATAATTATAATGTTATTAGAATTGCTTTCTGACCTCACACTCTCAACTCCTCACTTTCCTCCAAACAATTCCAAGTTTACTTCCCTTAAACGCATCTGATCATGCTTTATACACCAATTCATCTCTGAAAATAAGGAAACCACCTCAGGGTAGCATTCAAGTCCCATTACCCCTTCTGTCACCTTTTTCTCCCCACCTCTGCACAAAATGCCCTGCTCTTTCAGAGCTTCAGGCCTCTGTACATCTGGGATGCTTTCCCCCACTGGTTTACCTGATGAACACCATAAGTCAGTGGTTCTCAACCTTCCTAATGCCGCAACCCTTTAATACAGTTCCTCATATTGTGGTGACCCCCAACCATAAAATTATTTTCGTTGCTACTTCATAACTGTAATTTTGCTACTGTTATGAATCGTAATGTAAATATCTGATATGCAGGATGTATTTTCATTGTTACAAATTGAACATAATTAAAGCATAGTGATTAATCACAAAAACAGTATGTAATTATATATGTGTTTTCCGATGGTCTTAGGCGACCCCTGTGAAAGGGTCCTTCGACCCCCAAAGGGGTCTCGACCCACAGGTTGGCAACCCACAAGTTGAGAACCGCTGCCATAAGTGCTCTAAGATGGAGCTTAAATATCATAATTTCTTTTCATTTTCTTCCTGACCCTTCCTCATCTCACTAGACAGAGTTGGCCCAACTTTCTTCCGTCTCGCCTACTAACTTAATGTGCATCCTTTACAGAACTTATCACCTGTATCTCAGTCACTGATTTGCATGCCTATCTCCCACCTGGACTGTGAGCCCTGCAAAGTCAGGGACCTACGCTGAAACTTCTTTGTACATTCAACACCGTGGTGGGCCCTCAGGATGTGCTTGTGGAATGAACAGATGCTGTCTCTTGCTTGATTTTCCGTTGCTCAGTTCAGCATCCATTGGATCTTTCAAGCCTGAGCTGCTACTGGCCAAAAGGTAAACTTGAGCCAAGGCAGACAAAAGCTGACCTTCAAGGTCTTGCCCAAGCCTCAATGACCCATCAGTGTGGCATCCCTAATGAGTCATTGAGGCTTGGACGATACCTTGAAAGTATTGTCTAAGAGAGAGTCTCCACCAAGAGCTCACCACATCTTGGCTCCCAACCATGAAGACGGTGTCTGCACACAAATTTGCCAAAGCGCAGACATTGATCCACCCCCAGAATGCAATTGCCTTTAAAAATATATTTTATTGATTTTTTTACAGAGTGGAAGGGAGAGGGATAGAGAGTTAGAAACACCGATGAGAGAGAAACATCGATCAGCTGCCTCCTGCACACCCCCCACTGGGGATGTGCCTGCAACCAAGGCACATGCCCTTGACCGGAATCGAACCTGGGACCCTTCAGTCTGCAGGCCGATGCTCTATCCACTGAGTCAAACCGGTTAGGGCATGCAATTGCCTTTAAAGAGCCTTCATTCAAAACCTATTTCAAAAATCCAAGCAGATGTCATCATCAAGATGTCAATAATTCAGATAAAACTTTCTAGAAGATGAAGGAGGCATGAGAAGTCAATGGGAAAGAACAGACTTAGCCACCAAATGAGGTGGGGCAGTCAGTGAGCTATTGAGAGGAAACTGATTTATCTCTCAACCTTCACTAAGATAAAGGGACCTAAAATTTCACCCTCATTGATCCCCATAAGAAAGCTAATGCAAGCAACAATGCGCTACCATCTTGCCTTTCAAAGTAGGGAATACTTGTAAAAAGGATACTGCTCAAGCCTGGCAGAGGTCCAGAGAAGAGCCAGGCTCTCTTCTGCATTCCCAGTACACTTATCTGAATATTGGATATTGACTGGCAGTATTTAAGGCGCTGTACATGCCGGTTCTTTTTAACATAATAACTTTACTTTTTAATAATAATAAAAAAAAGAAAACAAGGAAATTATCTTACATGCAGATCAAGATGCTTGACTAAAGATAATCATCTAGTATTTGTGAAAGTGGAAAATTGGAAGCTGGGAAAGAGAATGCCCAGGCTTCCTAAACTTCACACTCAGCTGGCTCTATGTGGCTCCAAGTCTCAGACAGGCACGCTTGTTATGCACATGCACTGACCCTCTGTGTTGTGTTACATGCCACTGATTTGCCTCTGACTCCTGGTGACCCCATGAATGAGTGATGTCCACAGTGTCCTGCCCTCAACAGCCCTGCTCAGCTCCTGTAGACTCAAGCCCATGGCTTCTTTTATGGAGTCAATCCATCTCATATTTGGTCTTCCTCTATTTCTGCTCACCCCAAATCACCCCTGCTATTATAGGTGAGAATGGAGGGCCAACGAGTCTCAGACTAAAATATCCATTCTCAATAGAGACACTATCTCCCTCAATAAAGTGAAAAGCGATTCTTAGAGGACAAAAAAAAGATCTTAGATATTATAATGGTTTGTGGCCCTTCTGGGACCACAGTGCATAAAGAGATAGATAGTATATCTTTCTATTACAATTTCATGGGGGTAGGGTAGCTATGGAAACAAATGTCCTAAGGCTCCTGGGGGTGGGGTGGCTATTTAAAAAAGAAGGTCGAGAAACACTGCCCTAGAAGATGTCCCGAGTACTATGGTTGTCCTTCCCTGGGCCCTCCCTCCCATTAGCAGTGGACCAACATTATCCCAACTCTCTATCACCCATGACGAGGTCCGACAGTTCATAAAGGCTTAGCATTTCAAGAGCATGAATCATGACACCTTAACTACCAGGCTTGGTCACTCAAGCTCCTGCCCATGGTACAATGGGCATTGCTGTCTCTCAATTGGGAGCCTTGTAGGGGAATGGTCCATAGGTCGTGGCAAAACACCGGCTTCTCATTGCCAGGAAAATGGGATTGTCTTTGAACAGTCCACCTTCCAGGTAGGAGGAGAGGCCACCCACCTCTCCAAAACCTCCCCGCAGGGTGATGGGAGTAAAGCAGCATGCAATTGGTGCATTTCAAGGGCCCACATGGAACTCTGGTCAAATCATCAAGGAATGCTCACAGAGGGCGCCCTTGGCTGAGAACACCAAACCCTAAGCTGACAAGCAGACACAATGCTTCAAAACTGTCCTGGCGCTGGCTAACTGCTCTTTTATGACTCAATCCTTGGCCAGAGGGGAAGCGCTGGGGGTGAGGTGCTCAGGATCCCGTGGGCAGTGCCAACTGCAGTGCAGGAGAACAGGTGGCTTGGTGCAGACTTTCTGCTACTGGGAGAAGAGGTCTAGTTCACGGAGGATTTGCTTCCAGCTACTTAGCAGAGGACATCTGGAACATCAGATTATTTTATTGGTGGAAATATGATTCCACCGCTCCTTGTTAACTATCATCGAGCAAAGGGAGATTCCTGCAGGAGAAATAATCAGGGTGGGGTCCCCATCTCTCTGCATCTCTCTCAGGACCTCTCCAGCTCTGACTCCTGAGGATGTGTGTACACAGCACATTTTCTGTAGACCTTCCATAAGTGAGGGCTCCTCTTGCTACTGCACAATTTGACAGCACAAGGTTCTATTCAGATTTCCTGTGAGGAAAAGCTCTCTTCAGCAGTTTGCAGTTTTAACAAACAGAACTGGAAACGCCCTATATGCTATCAATCCTGGTCCTAGAATACCAGCCCCACAGCCCCATCCCCTCACTCCATCATCTCAGGAGAACTGAGACAAATGGAATCTCAGAGAGAGGTTTTTCACTAAGTCCCTTGTAGGAAAACCATTCCCAGGCCGAGGTAAGGTCTGGGAAGCCTGAGGATGATGGAAATATCTATTTACTGAGCACTCATTCACAATGTGCTGGGCACTGTGTAAAGACATTTCTTTACACTAGTTCATTTAAGTCTTTCAGCAGCCCATTTTACAGATGAGAAAACTGAGGCACAGAGAGGTTCAGTAGCCTGCTGAAGCTCATGCAACAAGCAGAGCTGGGATTCCAAACCCAGCAGTCTGCTTGTGCTTTTGCTGCATCTCAGGAGGCTGGGTCATGCATGGGCCTGTCTGGAACCCTCTTTCCCCCTTCCCCAGCATTTCCTGGCAGGTAACTATAGGCAAAGTGAAATCTACATTGCTCTCTCTGATCTAGTTGTTGTGTCTCAGGTCAACCTCTAGAGGTCTTTCTTAATCATTTAAAAGACTAATAATAAAAGAAAGAGGAGATAGGTATTTTACAGACACTGAGTTCAGGGCTTTACATTTTATTATCTTGTTTGATTTTATCCCAACACTACGAACAGGTTCTGCCCTTCCACATTTACCCATGAGAAAACTTAGGCAAAAAGAGGTTAAAAGCAACAAGATCAAGGCCACACAGCACATATCAGCTTGGAACCCCGATGTTAACCTCCACGTTGTACCGTCCCCGCTTCTGCACCAGGGACCCCAGCATAAGTCCTGGCATAGGTTCATAACTCTTTTCAAAGTGTGAGAGTCTAACATGGTTTCCTATCTGGGCATTTAGGAAGGAATTTAGTGGAAGATTGGGAGAGATGGCCTTCAAGGATTCTAATGCAAAAGATCATTGCCTGAAAG